TTTAGAGTTTAGGGGTTAGGATTTAGGGTTAGGGCTCTTTCAGGGAGTGTGTAGGGTCTTATAGGCGTTGATCTTGTGGGGGGTTGTATAGGGCTTTTTCCAAGGACACAATGTCCAGGGAGTTAATGATGGACCACGCGGAGCACGGGCTTCCCGAGGGGTCAGTTAAGCAATGTGTGGAAGATGCTTTGTGCTAATTTGAAGCCTTCAACCCCGATTGCAAGGCAGGTTGTGTAATTGAAGGGGTTGCCGACTCCCCGAATTTAGGAGAGACCTCCATGTAGGAGATTTAGGGGCATGATATAAGCCTTCAATCAAGCCACAACACTACGTGAACCACACCTCAAGCCGTATACCCCAACGCACAGACCCTGGAGCCAGAAAATCAAAACCTGAAGCCATCAGCCCTGAGAGGCAAACCCATAGGATTTAATAAGGCATTGACGCCATCACTCTAAGCCCTAATCCTAAGAGTCCATGTGCTCAAACAGCGTATACTTGGCCCCGAGGTACCTTGTTAGGGACTACTTACTACTTCAAGGCCGAGGCATATACTATTTGGGCCATGGACCCTTAGACCCTAACCCCCATCGAAATGTTAGAGAACCCTGAAAGGAACCCTTAATAACTTAACCCAAAGTATATACTAGTTGGGCACATGGACCCTTGAGGTAATCAGCCCCACGAACCCCCCAAGAATACAGCCTTAACCCTATGGCACCCTTACAGGAACCCTAAAGGAACCCTTCAAGGAACCGAAGCCCCAATCAGCCTCAAAAAAGTCAGCTTCGAGACATCTACACGAACCCGAGAGCCAGTCAAGGTTTCTGGAAACAGAGCCACAATCTCATGACCAGAATGACTGCAGAGTTTAGGGTCTAGGGTCATAGCTACGGCGGGTCACTAAGAATGAGCTGACATGGGCTTATCCCACAGTCAGAGTTGAATGCCAAACCCCGTTTTCGAACATGGGTGCCTCTTGGGCAGACAAATTAGCACTCGCACGACATGTGCCACCAAAGTATGTAATGTGGGCCCTCGTTAGCAGCGTGCCTGGACCTTCTAAACCAATACAGCAACCCTAAACCCTCAACGGCCCGAAGCCAATAAAGCAAGTGCACCGAGCTCTCACGTCCATATGGTGCTCCTTGTTAGAGATGCTAACGTCTTACGGTTGGCCGTATATCTCTCTTAAATGTCATAAGACCTTTGGAAAGCCTATATGGAACCCTTCTAAAGAGTTCACGATGTCCTCCTTCATAGAAGCTTTTCTGGCTCCTAACCGCCGAAGATTACGGAAGCCTTCCGAAAGCTTTGTTGGTCCCTAAGCCCCAGAAAAATTATGGAACCTAGACTCTAAACCCCTAAACCCTAAACCCTAAAATCCTAAACCCTAGGGCTCCAAGTATACAAATAGAACCTACTTTGGGGTCTAAAGTCTGTAAATAGTGCCTACTTTGGGCTTTTTGGAGCCCAGGGAAACCCTAAACCCAAGGGCTTTCCTTAAGCTAAGCCCTCATAGCTCTACAGAAAAATGGCAGCATCAGCCAGAGCCTAAACTCTAAACCCCTAAACCCTTAACCCTAAAATCCTAAACCCTAAGGCTTTCCTTCAGCTAAGCCCTACAATGGCCCTAAGGCTTTCCTTAAGCTAAGCCCTCTATTTAGGATTTAGGGTTTAGGGTTTAGGGTTCTAAAGAAAAATGGCAGCAGCAGCCAGGAAGCTCTGAGAGCGTCATGTCGGAGGGGAGGTTCTCAACCCTATCGCGGCTTGGAGGTGAAGAGCTCCGGGCTAAACCCTAGGGCTGTAGTGTTTAGGGTTTAGGGTTTAGGGTTTAGGGCTGTAGGGTTTAGGGTTTAGGGGTTAAGGATTAGGGTTTTTAACCCTATCGCGGCATGAGGGTGAAGAGCTTCGAGCTGTGGGGTTTAGGGTTTAGGGTTCAGGGTTAAGGATATAGGGTTGGTTTAGGATTTAGGGTGGGTTCAGGCTTTAGGGCTTGAGGGTGAAGAGCTTTGAGCTGTGGGGTTTAGGGTTTAGGGGTTAGGGTTTAGGGTTTAAGGGGTTAGGGGGTTAGGGGTTTAGGGGTTTAGGGTTTAGGGTTTAGGGTTTAGGGTTTTAGGGTTTAGGCCTTAAGTGGTGGCCCAGAGAACCCAATACACCTTAATTAAGGAATATAATGTACCTTAAACACCCTTAAATCAAAAAAAAAGTCCCTATAGTTTAAGGTTCAATCCTTATGTAAGGGGTATTGGGTTCTGTGGAGCTGTATCCGGAACGACCTACCTTTTTCGGGTTCCTTCTTGGGGCTCCACATATAGTTCCTCAAAAAGGTAGGTCTTTTGGGCCACAGGTAGGTTTAGACTTTAGGGTGAGGAGGTTTAGGTAAGGAGATTCAGGATTTAGGGCATAGGCTTAGGCTTCAGGGTTTAGGGATTGGGCGCCTGCATTGTTTAGTTGGGCTCGCATCTGGAATCCACAAAGAAGGCTTCGGGATTCTGCAGCTCCTGTCTTTGGGAGGGATCCCAAAGTTTAGGCCCAAAACTATGAAATCCACGGAACCCGCGCCTCACTCGGATGCCCCTCTCTTCTCCCCTCTTCTCCGGTCCTTGAAAGGCATTATGGGGTAGTTCTCTAACTTGGGATCCCTTTTGGGTTTAGGGTTTAGGGTCTGGGGCTTAGGGTCTAGGGTTTGGGGTTTAGGGTTTAGGGCTTAGGGTCCCTTTTGGGGTCCTTTTTTATAAGGGTGCCGTACTATATTGGGGACCTAGACAGGGACCTTATAACTAGAGAACTACCCATATACGTGGTTCAATTCTTAGGCCTCTTCTGGGGGTCTAGGGCTCAGAGTGTCGGGTCTGGAAGTAAGCGTTTCGGGACTGGGCTGTTTGGGGATTAAGTTTGGTGGCTTAGGGCCGCTATCGGGGCTCGGCTACGTACCCAACAAGTGATGCACTGGGGAACATAATTACATCTGGGATTCTAGGGCAACCATAAGATTAAGGCCACATGAACGCTGAACGAAAATGTGCCAGCTTCGCAAGCTTGTCAGTCCTCTGCAGCGTTTCTAGCAGAGGGAGCGCATAGGGTGCCATGTCTCTACGAGGTCTGTTTTGTTAAGACGGGGTTCTCTTGGAAGCATGGGAGTTAATTAAGGAGCATACCTTTTAAGGAACCCTTAAGTGAGCCCATAAAAGGGGCTCTGGGAGGAACCTTTCCAGGACTACTACCACTACCGCTACAAATGCGATCGCCACTGGCGATTTGGATTGTGGTACCGGGGTTTGAGCACCTTAAAGGGCGTCTCGTAAGTTTGAGAGTGAACCAGGGCTTCATGGGCTCGAGGTTTAAGAGTCAGCATCATCTTTAGGATGTGTGGATACTGGAAGACTTTGATACCAAATACCCAATCCACACAGGAAGACATGTCGAAGAGGCATCCCTCCACGCAGTAACTATTGCCACAAGGTGTGCCATTGCGAGATGGTGCTCAAAGTGATCTAGTTCAAGGAAGCCTGTTGGAACCGAGGCAAGAACCCGACTCGGACACCCTCAACATAAAACGTCCTAAACCCTCCTAAGCCCTAAGTCCAGCATCCTCTTATCGCCGGTCTAGCTAGGCCATGCTAACTGATGCCAACCCACCCGATGTGAAGAGCAGCAGAATCGCGTGTGGAACCAGATTAAACAGTCGTCTTGCTGTCGTCGTGGTGGCAATTTAGCGATGTAGACTACAATCAGACACAACCATCCCCGAATTCGAAAATCAAACAACACACAGCGACCCCGCAAAACACAAAAAACTGCATGCAAACCACAACCTCCAAACACCGAACACGTGAATCCAGATCCTGTGCTACTATGCCATGCACAGTACAGACTATCTATAGACGCTGCACCCAGCCCCAACCCCACACACGCGCGTATCAGGCC